TTCTTTGTGTTTTTCTTTGTTTCTGTATTTGAACAAGAGCTAAGCTGTGCCAACGCGAAGCTTAGGTGAATATGTTATTATACTCGCCCGCATCTGAGGGAATGCTCACACCTGGAATTTCTTGGATGTACATGACAGTTATTACGGCCAGATTCTTCCAAAACATTGCGAGTCTGGAGACAGAATCCAGGGCTCGTGGCACTGGGTTTGCCGGTGTACAACAACTCTGAACTCCTGAAGTGCCCAGAAATGGGTACAATGTTCTATGAACCTAGCAATGATCATTGACTCCGTTCGCGACTCCGTTATGTTGCCGGATGGAAGACTCCTACCGTCTTCACCCGAATATAACGCCCGGTCATTATAGCTGTATTTGGCATGACTTTCAGCCCGGATACGGCGATAATTACCGGGCGTTCTATTCGGGTCGGGTGCAGTGTTGACTGTTACCTCATCTGTGCAACTTAGTGATGAAGGGCTGGACTGTCCTGGTTGTATCTGACAGATTTTGAGCGCCATATTCTTACAGCAAGTTGGAACCTGACTGCAATTACAGCCAGATTCTGACTGCAACTTAGCTCTGAATGGCGACTACCGTAGCACTGCCCTGCAATCAGACTCGCTATCTTTCACACTTCACATGCATGCAAACAGGTGCGCAGCAAACTGGCGACAAGCGCCCACTCAAAACTGAGAGATATGGCAACCGAAACGCAGCTCAGATACAAGTTCACTTCAGATGGCTATGGCGGCACAGCGCCTGTACAACTCTCTGTTCGCACACTCAGGATCACCCTGGATATCCCACACGTGATACTCTGTACACTCACACACACACACACACACACACACACACACACACACACACACACACACTGAACTCTATCCACAGCTATGGCGGCTATGGCCGCTGCTAACCTATCGCTATGGCTAAGCTCCTTCTCTCTCGCCCACTTCGTCCTCGGGCTCACTGCAGACCACCTCGCACAAGTCGCTGTGGCAGCGCTTCCGCATGGCTCACGCAGGAATGAATGAATGTCTGGGCGCTGCCTCTTGATTTATACTTCTGTAGTTCGTTGGTCTGGCCCTTTCCCATGCCCGTAGTGCACACAGTCCCATGTGGTACGACCTTGACCCTTCAGGACTGTAGCAGCTACGACCTTGACCTTTCGGAGGAGCTACAGCTACAACTTCTAGACCTTACTAAGACTCCTACCCGACAGGTCTACAGATCCAACCCCTACCACCTACGGACCCTACAACGGTCTACGAACTGTTACAAATACAAGGTCATGGGTTCAACTCTCGGGGTCGACACAAATACTGTACACAGGTAAGGTGAGGGCTAGGGATCGAGCCCCTTGATCTGCATCGGCTACTGCGAATAGGTGAATACAGTATCACTCCCGCCGGCCTAAATTTGAGGTCCTCCGAGAATAATTCAGTCCAAGGCAGGACCTTTACCTTTCTTATGTCGCTCGTAGGCTCTGACTATGTCGGGAGCTGTTTCTAGAAGTTCTGTTCTGGTAAACCAGCCGTAGTCCTCCGGTTCCTGGTAAGCAAATCGGACCTTATACTGCTTCTGTGGACGGCCTCTACCTCCTGTTCTGAACACATCTTCACCTACAATGCCGTCAATGTCGTACCTTCCATCCATGTCTGGAGGGATCATGGATCTCCTAGATGGAAATTGTTGACTTGTGACACACGGCAACAACTTTGAGGCATGAAACACAGGGTAGGTGTGGAGGTGTGCTGGGATCTCTACTGTGTAGGAAGGCCCATCTTCTCCGCCCTTAACTTCTAGAACTGGCCACGGTCCTCTATACGCGGGCAGTAACTTCTGCGAGATGTTTTCCTTAGGAGCAAACTCTTTAGACTTGACCCAGACCAGGTCGCCTACCTGAAACTGTGACGGGCGACGGTGCTTCTTAGCCTGTTCTATCATTCGGTGCTGGGCCTTCCTGAGGTTCTCAACAACAGTGGCTAACTCTCTCTCGTGCTGTATCGCAAACTCCCTGGTACCGGGCGGTAGCCTATGAATCTGATCCCGGTTAAGCCCTTCAAACGGTCTACGCGGTCTACAGGACTTGTGGAACTCATTGGGAGTGCGACAGGCAGACAAGTGCACGCTGTTATCATACACACTGGCTACCTTGGGCAACATCTCGTCCCAATTGACTTGATTGGGTCTAATGTACATACGCAGAACTTGCTGCAGGATCTTGTTCATCTGCTCAGTCTGACCGTTAGTCTCGGGATGACGGCCAGACGGCATCAACAACTTTGACCCATAGACTCTCATCAGTTCCTGCCAGTTCTGACTCGTGAAGCGAGCATCTCTATCACTAACAATAGACAACGGGACGCCATGCTCACTAACCCAAAAGTCAAAAAAATTCTGAATCACTATTTGGGTGCGTGCCTCTGCAGGCAAAGGAACAAAACAGCATACTTACTAAATCTATCGACTATGACCATGACTTGGCTCTTGCCGTGCCTACTCTTGACGCCACCGTGCATAAAGTCAATGGACACTGAATCTTTTGGCTGATCAGGAATAGGCAAGGGTCTGAGAAGACCTAGAGGGGCACGCATCGTAATCTTGTGCCTCTGACATATTTTGCAATTGGGGACATACTCTATGCAGTCGTTCTTCATTCCTGGCCAAGTATACTTGTGCATCAGATTGGCTAGAGTCTTTTGCCAACCGAAGTGTCCCTCTGTGTCGTGGCATTCCCCTAGGATCAAACTGCGGATCTCCTCACTGTTGGGAACGCACAGGCGGTCTACTACATTAGTCTTTTCAAACAACAATCCATCAGTAGCGCGATAATCTGGTTCAGTCTTTGGGGCCTCCTTTACCCTCTTGAGGAGGTCACTATAGATAGGGTCGTGCGCATACGCCTGTCTATCTTTCTCTTGCAGGTCACTCCCTATGTCCAGATAGTGAACTATAGCTCCAAAGTAGTCTGATCTCCTACTTAAGAGCATCCGCAACTACATTGTACTTGCCTTTGACTGGCTTGAGCTCAAAGTTGTACTGGTCTATCTCAGCGGCCCACCTAGTCAACTTAGGTGTCATTTTGGCCTGTGTCTTTAGCCATCTAAGCGCCTCATGGTCTGAATACACCTTGAAGTGCCTCCCAAGCAGGTAATGCTTCCACTGCTCTAAAGCCTTCCCGAGAGCGTAGATTTCCCTCTCATACGTCGAGGTAGCGACCTTCTCTGAGGGCATCCTCGCAGACATGAACTCTACGGGCCTGTAACCATTATCGTCGTCCTGCTGTAACATGGCGCCTATGCCATACTGACTCGCGTCCGTGGTGACGACAAATGGCGAAGATGGATTTGCTACTTTGAGGACAGGGTACTCTATCAACGCGCTCTTCAACTTCTTTAGCATGGACATACAATCTTTATCCCATTGCCAGATTGCCTCTTTCTTGAGCAACCTGCGAAGGGGAGTGGCGATAGTCGAGAAGTTCCTCACAAACTTTCTATAGTAGTTAGCCAAACCTAAGAACGACCGCAACTCAGTAAACGTGCAGGGTGTTGGCCAATCTCTAATCGCCGCTATCTTGCTGTCCTCAGGCTTAATGCCATCTCCGTCTAACACGTGGCCCAAGTACAGGACTTGTGTCTTGGCCCACTCGCACTCTTTTGCGTTGATCTTGAAGTTAGCCTC